TTAACAAATGTAGGTTAATTTGTTGTTAATTAAGTATGTGGCAGAACCCTGATTTTGATGGGAGTGGCAAACTTCCCATCATCCCTTGCAGCTAGGGGTACACTTCCCATCATCCCTTGCAGCTAGGGGTAGGCTTAGGACCCAGTACTGGCCAGTGAGATGTAAGTAGAAGTTAGCTGGGGATTTCTGGGAGTTTGACTTTCCTGGTGTAAGCCTCACCCCTTCCTTGTTGTCACTTCCTTTTTCCTTCTGGGAAGGCGGAGTGAGGCTGAGGTGGAATCAGGGGGCAGGTGCTGATGCCTCTCAGTCACTACAGGAGTTTAAGGCTCTGGGAAACTCATTCCTTATCTGTAAACCAGAGGTTGAATGAGATAAAAACATTGTTAAGCATTCTACTTTGCTAATTTATAATATGTGATCATATGATACACATACAAGCATCTGTGAATGGGTTGAGAAATATGACCTTGAGGCCGGTGTCAGAATGGTGGAGCGGAATGGCGGAGAAAGCCTGGGTGCCCTGTGGCTGCAGAGGTGTCACGACTAGCTGGACTGCCTGTCTTCAGCTTATTTTATGTGAAAAAGAAATGAACACGCCTTGTTCGAGCCACCGTCCTTTTGGACATTCTCTTGCATGCAGGCAATCCTAATCCTACCTGATACAACCATAGAGCGTGCGGCATGTCTCCGTTCCTATGCTTTTGTGTGTGTATTCCTTCTCCCTGAGATGCCTTTCATTCTTTCCTTGGCTGTTGAAATCCTATTTACCTTTCAGGGCACAATTTTAATATCTCTTCTTCCACAAAACCTTCACCCATTCCCCGGACATAACAACCCCACGACAATGCTGGTCTTCCCAGCCGTCAGTTTGGCCTCTTGTAGCACTTACATAAATTCCAGGGCATGCACAAAGTGGCTGAAGGATGAGGATTGGGTTTCCTTCCATCTCTGGTTACCCAGAACTGGGACAGTGCTTGGCACATAGCAGGCGCCAAATCAATTCCTGTTGAACACACACGCATGCACATGCACACGCACACACACACACCACACAGGGCAGGCACCACCAGGGCAGGTACCAGGTGTCTTCCCAGGACAGACACCCTGACAATTGTGTATAGGGTGAGAGGGCACGGGGAAAAGGAAAACAAGAAACCAAAAGAAGAGAGTGTACACCTTTCCCTTGACCCTTCCCTCACGCAGGGGCATGAGCAGCCACGCCAGGCCTGGAAGCTGTGCGTCTCTCCTCCAGCTCGCCTCTCTGGCAGGCTCCCCATTCATGCCCAGTGGGCGCTCCCGTGCTGGCGGGGCAGAACCAGGAGGGCGGAGAGACGTGGAGGCGCCCGGCAGAATCAGGACCCAGGAGGACTGCGACAGGGCGGAGGTGACAGTGCAGACCTGTTTATAACTCTGGGCTGGTATTGTGCTACAGGCTGGCCTCTCTCTCCTCCCTCCCACCCCCAAGGCCCCGTGGGGGCTGCAGCTATTGGCCCAGAGGGCTTGCTGGACCCCCAGAGTTGTTGGGTGCTGGTGGTGCAGGCTGGCTGGGTGGCTGAGGGCGGCGCCTAGGGCACAGGTGCAGTCCGGGCGGAGCCTTTGTGGCCCGTTCCCTCCAGGGCACTAGGCCGTGGTCAGTTCCGCTGCCGGCCACCGGGCGGCAGTGCTGGTCAAGCCCTCCAGCCTCCAGAGCCGGTCCTGTCCCAGGCAGTGGGGATGCTCCGCTAGAGTGACACTGTTAGGGCTGGAAGGGCTTAGCCAGCATAACACGAAGACGCGATCTACGTATGATTTGAGGGTCCGACTGGAAGGATTTGTTTGTGCGTCTACGCACCGGTGTGACCATGATCAAGGTGCAGGACGTTTCCAGCTCCCCACAGGCTTCCCGTGTCCCTGCCAATCATCAGCTCCCAAAGGGAGCCTTGTCCTGCTTCAAACACCAAGGATGGGTTTTGCCTGAACCTCCTATGAGTGGCAACACGCGGTGCTCTTGGGTCTTCCCTTACATCAGCCTCACGGCGGTGAGGTTTATCCACGTGGGTGCAGGCAGCAGTAATTGGTTTTCACTGGCACAGTATTCCATGGCGTGCATATGTGGCAGTTCAGGTCCTGCTGATGGGCGTGGGGAGCTGGGCCGGGAGCAGCCTCTGAGACAGAGATCAGGGACAGGGCTGCTTAGGCGGCAGACCCGGGGAAGCATAGGCCTGGACTGGGTGTGGGGGGGACACTGGCCTTGGCCTCCGGGGAAGGGGCCCTGCATTCCTGGGGATCTGAGCTGTGTAGCTGCCCCGACAGTGGACATTCGCCTGTTTCCAGGCTGGGGCTGCTGTGCAGAGCGCTGCTGTGGGCCAGCACACCGGCTTCACGGGGGTGGCATGGCTGGGCCCTGAGGCTGGCAGAGGGGTGCCTTGTGCAAAAGCTCCCGGCGTTGCCCTGTTTGGCCCCTCCGCGCCTGGCCTGCCGCCCACAGCGCGCGCGGCCCTGATGTTCTGGGGCTGGTTTCCAGGGGGGGCAGCCTCTGCCCTCTGAGATTTCGGCCCGGGGAACGGATGAGGGCTGGCAAGTGTCACAGGCAGGCGTCCCAGGGCCTTAGTGGCAGGGCCCACGAGGGACCGGGCTGCCTGACAGTGCCCCAGGTTGGGCTGGTTTCCGGTCCCGCGGGGCCGCGGGCGGGCGTGGGCGCAGGGCAGCCGCGGCGTCCTCCTGTGCCCGGCTCTTCCCGGAGCGCGGGCGGCGTCTTGAGAGATGACCTGCGGGAAGACAGGTGTAGCGATCGGGCTCTAGGCAAGCGGGACCGACTGCTGCGGAGGGGTCCCAGCGAGGCTGCCGCCCACCCCGGGAGGCGGGTGTGCCGGAGCTGCGGTGCAGTGAGCCTCGGCAGCGCGGCGGACCTGCCTCGGGGGCGCCCCTCCCGGCTTCGGGGGCTCCCGGACCCTCGGCGCCTCCTGCAGTACTGAGCGCCGCCAGCAGAGGCCGCCGCAGTCCCGGCCCGGCCGAGGCCGCCCCGCGCTCCAGGGCCAGCGCCCGCCGGTCTCGGAGCAAAGGTTTGCGGCGGGGCTGGCGGGTGCCGTCTGCAGCGGGGCTGGCGGGTGCCGTCTGCAGCGGGGCAGCCTCCACGTCCCACTCAGCAGCCAGTCAGGCCTGTCCACAAAGCTCCTGCTCTGTGCCCGCGCAGTACAGTGGGGGAGACATTGCTAATTGGGGGGCGCTCCCAGAGGGGAGTCTCCGCGGCGAGTGGCGGTGGAGGGGCCCAGGCACACCGTCTCCAGCCGCGATACCTGGGCTGAACCTCAGCCTGTCACCTCATGCCTAGTAAGCTGAACCAGCTGCGTCACCGTCGTGTGCCTCAGTTTCCCCACGTGTATAATGGAAATGATGACCATCAACAGGACCTTTTCGAGGAGTTGCCATGAAGACTACCGGGTAAGTTCTGGACTTAGAACGGTAGCATTCCGGGCCAGGCGCGGTGGCTCACGCCTGTAATCCCAGCACTTTGGGAAGCCGAAGCGAGTGGATCACGAGGTCAAGAGATCGAGACCATCCTGGCCAGCATGGTGAAACCCCATCTCTACTAAAAATACAAAAATTACCTGGGCGTAGTGGAGCGCATCATAGTCCCAGCTACTTGGGAGGCTGAGACAGCAGAATTGCTTGAACCCGGGAGGCAGAGGTTGCAGTAAGCCGAGATCGCACCACTGCACTCCAGTCTGGGCAACAGAGGGAGACTCCATCTCAAAAAAAAAAAAAAAAAAAAAAAAAAAAAAAAGAACGGTAGCATTGTGCAGGGGAGAAAAAGTAGAAAACTAGAATCTTTCCTCACCCATTGCTGGGTTCATGGCTAGGACCCCTATAACAAAAGACAGGTCAACAAGGGAAAAGCACACAAATTTAGTTCATGTAAATTTTACATGACACAGGGACCTTCAGAAATGAAGACCCAAAGAAATGGGGACATGTATTTTTATGCGTTGGTTTCATGAAGAGTGGGCATTGTGGAGAAGTGATTGGCTAAAGGGGGAAGGGGTAATAAACGGGAGAGTTGGCCAGGCCTGTTCAGATTCTTCTCTCTGTCCCTGTGTCTTCAGAGGTAAGGATGGGCCTTATGGCCTCATGGTCCTACTTCAGGGGATTTGGGCGAAAGGAAGGTGAGTGAGGCCTTCCTGCTTCTGCTGTTTTCTCAAATGCCAAGGTGCCATATTTCGGGGTGGTATGTCCTGAACCCTGGCAGTGTGTTCAATAAACAAACATGGAGTGTGTGGCAGGCATGCCTGTCCCCTGGATGTGAGGCTTTACGCAGGCTTTAGCTCCTCAGAATGACCCCCTCTGCCCCCCAGATGCCTCATGGCCCAAGGTCCCTCTGATGCGACTACACCACCCCAGCCTGCTGGCTTTGGGTGGCCTGAGGGCCGTAGCTTGCCAGGTAACTTTCCAGACAGTCTGAGGTTCAGAGGTGAATTCCCTGATAAGATGCCATACATACCTCTCATGAGAGTGTGATTTATTAACAAGGTGCACGACTCCAGCCCTCTGGGGAACCACCCAAGGCAGCCCGCACTAAGGTGGAGCACGCACTGGGCGCTAGCCATCCCTTAGCCGAGCAGTCACTGACTGTGGCCTTCATCTGGGGTCTTGGGAGGGGCTTAGCCCACAGGTTGAGGGTCAGGGCACTCACAAGGCTCCAAACCCACCAGGCCCTTGCCACCTAAAGTGGGGTCCACTTGGCCAGGTGCCGTGGCTCGTGCCTGTAATCTCAGCACTTGGGGATGCTGAGATGGGAGGACTGCTTGAGGCCAGGAGTTTGAGACCAGCCTGGGCCACATAGCTAGACCTGTCTTCACAATATCAAAAATATTAGCTGGGCATGGTGGGGTGCACCTGTGGTCCCAGCTACTCAGGGTGCTGAGGTGGGAGGATCGCTTGAGCTTGGGAGTTTGAGGTTGTAGTGAGCCATGATCACACCACTACACTCTAGCCTGAATGACAGTGAGACCTCGCCTGGAAAAAAAAAAAAAAAAAGTCGAGTCCACATATCTCAGTTAGGGCCCCAGGCTTTCTGAGTCAATCTGCATTTTAACAAGATCCCCAGGAGATTTGAGAGTATGTTGCAATGAGAGTGAGAAGCACTAGGTTAGAGTAAGCCACCTTCCCTCCCTCACTCTAGGTTAGAGTGAGCCTCCTTCGCGTCAGTTTTCCTAACCGAAATAAAAATCGAGGGGCTAGAATACCTTTGGCTTCTTTTCCAGTGCTAACACATTGGGAGCTAGACCTTTGGTGTGACCATCTGTAGGGCTATCAGTTCCTCTCCTCTTCTGTCTGCTTTACCCCTCCTCTCTGTTGGAGGTGCACAATTTCGCAGGTCCTGGGATACAGCACATGTAATTCAATCTGCTTCAACAACATAGATTGAGTTCCTTCTGTGTACCAGGGTCTGCAGCAGTGGATCTCCACCCTGGCTGTATATTAGAATCATCTGGGTTGCTCTGTAAACTCCCGATGCCTGGGTTCCACCCCAGGCCAGTGGAACTGGAGTTTTTGGGGGCGAGGCTGGGCATAAGTATTTATTAACATGCTTGGACCATTACAATGCACAGCCAGCTTGAGATTGGTCAGAAGTGAGAAACAAGGCTACTGTAAGACCTACCCAGGCCTGTCCCCCATTCCTGCTTCCTTCTCTTAGGCCGGCCAGCTCCAGCAGGTCGGGCTGCAAGTCAGGAGAAATCACTGGGAAATCCCCTGGATATAGTAACACATGACAGCACCATCGAATTAATCATCAACCTTGTAACGTGATCTCTGGCCCATAAAAACCAGACCTGCTGAATCTTTGGTAAACTGTCCACTAGACTTCTCCAGGCAGTTCCTTCTAGACCTGGGGACCTACGCCCGAGGACCTTAGACTGATGGGTGCTCAGCTCTGCTTCGAGGCCAGTGAGTAGACCTCTTGCGAGCCCTGAGCTTGGTCTCTGGACTGGGGGTACAGGTAGTGGAGGGGTGCTCTGTGTTATTGCTGGAGTAGAGATGTGGCCATTGTAAAGTTTAGGGGGCTGGTGGGGTCCCTGTTCTGCCGAGTTGAGCTGTGGGCAAGTCACTTTGTCCCTGAGCCTCAGTTTCTACATCTCCAGGCTGGAGACAATGCCTGCTGGCTTACGGGGATCTTTGTAAAATCAAACACACAAATCAAAAGGGTGATAGGCACAAAGCTTCTCTGCGAGCCTCACCTGAGGCCACAGGTGTCCAGGAGTGGAAGGGCCATGTGCAGGGGAGATAGAGGACCTGGTCTTTTAGCACCAGTGATTGGAGTTGGGCATCTCTGGACCTGCCCTCCCAGGTAAAGAGCTGGGAGCCTGGGCTCAGGGCCTTTGGTTCCCTGGTGGGCACCATGGGTTCACAGACTGGTAGTTGGCTGTGCCAAGAGCTACTGCTGCTGTCACAGTAATGTTGCTTGGCAGGGAAATGACAGGCCTGAAAGGAGGTGGCGTGGGAGTGCAGCGGCCAGGAGCGGGGCTGGGATCCCCCACTTTCTGGCTGCAAAAACACAGATGACTAGCACAGCCTTCTCGAGCTCTGAGGGCTTCCCCCGAGGCGGGGTGAGGAGAAAAAGAGGCTGCAAAGTGACTGTGGGTGCCTGACACCCTGAAAGGCTTGACGCCTGGAGGAGTGGTGAGGATGGAGATCCCTGGAGGCTCTCGCTGAGCAAGGGGCCGCCCCTGCCCCACTCAGATTCCAAGACCCTGGAGAATCTAGACTCTGAGTCTACCTGTCCCGGAGTAGAGATACCCCAGAGGCCCTGCTTTGCGGCAGGCAGTCCATCCCCTCAGCAGTGTGGACCCCGGGGCGGGTGGAGTAATTGGAGAGATCCCCCATGGGCAGGGCACTCAGCTTCTCTGAGCTCAGGATCCTGCCTGAAAATAGAACCCATAGAAAGAGCGGCCGCCTCTAGGTGTGAGGGTGCTTGGGCACCAGGGTGATCTGAACCCTGTGCCAGCCCAGCCACTGGGGACAGGTCTGCTTGGAGAGCCGCCTCTGCCCACCTCTGCCACTCTCCACCCTGGGAGTGAGGTGTCCCGGGCTGCCCAGGTCAAAGTGTGGGAGGATCCCTGCAGGCCTCGTGGGAGGAGGCAGGTGGAGTGGAGGTGGCGATCACACCCGTCAGGCCGCCCCAACCCCGCTCCAGGCCCAGGCACAGAGCCCTGTGTGAGGTAGGTGGACATGGTCCTGCGGGCCCTTGCCGGGCTGGCGGGGCGAGGGTGGGTTTCAGCCCCACTCGGCCTTGGTGGTGCACAGTGAATAGCTGACATGACCATGCAGACAGACCGAGTCTTCATAGATGAGAGGCTGTGCCCTAAGGGACCTTTTGCTGCCCTGCCAGGTCCCAGGGAGCTGCCCGAGGTAGGGGGCAGAGCCTGAGTGAGCAGCACAGAGGAGGCCGCTTAGGTGCCCTGGCTGCGGAGTGACCTGTGCAGCCACCGCATACCCTTGGCACCCACCAGCCCTGGTGACATGAGGACTTAGCTCCACACAGGGCTGCTGAAAAGGCTCCTGAGGCAGGGATTGGGGAGCTTTGCAAACTGTCAAATTATTCTCCAGGGCAAGGCCTGCTTCTCAAGGGCTCCCAGGGCCTCGTGCAACCCTAAGGCCATTCCGGGGGAGTTCCCCTCCTCCCTGGACTGCCTCCAGCCAGCCAGTTCCCCACTTCATCCAGGAAGTGAATGGAGCAGTGAGGTCACCTCCCGTCCTCTACCCCTCCCCGCCCCCAGAGCCAGTCCTGCGTGGAGCCAGCCTCTGTCCCTGGCACCTGCCTAGAGGGTGGGGTGGAAACTCCATCCCCAACCAGGACGGGCTCATCTCTGCTGGTTCCCCTCTAAGCCCATGGCGCTGAACGTGACAGAGCTCCAGCTCCCCTGACCCCAGAGTTTCCTCTTTCCCTGTAGGGGCTGCACTGGGTGAGGCTGGGAGAACTCCTCATTGACGCTAGTTCTGCCCCTGATTGCTGTGGGCCGGGGCCAGCCACTTGCCCACCGTGTGCCTCTTAGGATGGCAGCAGGATTGGGTGTGGCAGTTTGTAGAGAGGGCTCGGATGCCGGCCACCATCTCTGGCACTGCCCCTCATCGAGGGCCATTGCTCCAGGCTCTTGCCAGGCCCACTCCAGAGCTTCTCTCTAGTTCCCACCTCAGGGATGGGCAGTGACCCAGCCAAAGGGCTGGCCTCTGCCCTCCTAGACTGTGGCTGGTTGTGCCAAGAGCCTCTGCTTGCCCTGGCACCCCCAGCCCCGTGCCTGGCCAGGTAGGCAGTGAACAGGACTCCAGACAGGTGTCCCGAGACCCCTGGCCTTGCTGGACATGCACCTCACTGCTGTCTGTGGGTGAGGAGGCCGGGCCCTGGAGGACAGTGACCTGCCTTGGCCAGCAGCAGGGCAGGTCTGGAATGGGGGTGTTAACCATGGCACAGCCGGGGTCCCACTGCCCTCCATGGAGCAGCCTCAACCATGGGCACAAGGCCAGGTTCACTGATGTCAGGGTCCCCAGCTTGGCTCCAGCTCTCCATGCGTGCTGGCTCTGGGACTTCTCCTTGCCTAGGTGCAGCCTTGAGGCACGGGGAGCTGGGCAGGCCTGCTGGGATTCACGGGGAGGGATGAGTGCATCGAGGGAAGGCACGGGTGGGGCACGGGTGAGGGGTGAATGCAGATACACAGGTCTCTGTGAGAGTCCCAAGGCCATGGTGAGCACTGGTCCCTAATGCCAGGGAAAGGTCACTGCAGGTAGGCTTACCTTTGGCCTGTGGAAGTCAGGGACAAAGTCCCTGTCACTGCAAAGGTGTCCTGGTGCCTGACCAGATGGAACCTCCTGGCCCTGGGCTCCGCTAGAGGGTGGAAACCTGTGTGTGGTCAGAGTGCCTGCCTTGCCGGGGGAGTGCGACCTGATCTGGGAGGGGAGTGGCCTTGCTCCTTAGGCTGGGGTCTGGCTTAAGTTCTGATTGAATTCACCTTTTATTTTCAACAGCAAACAGCCGGCCAGCCTCCCTCCCCCAGCCCAGAAAGCGCAGGGCCAGGAAGGGAGGGGCAAGGCTGGCTAAGGCAGTTCTGCGGTAGGAATCCCCACGAGCTTCCTGCAGGCTGAGTGGAGAGGAAGGGCTGCCCAGTGAGGTGCTTTCCACTCCTGACCACCAGGCAGAGTCCTGCGGGAAGTCCCCTGGTTTCAGAGCCAGGCTTGACCTCACCCAGGATTCTGAGGGACTAACCTGGGACTCCCTCTCCAGCCTGCACCCATACCATGTGAGGAGCAGCCAGGCCCCTTTCTCTCCCAGGACAAGGACATCACCATTGCTGGGGGCCGTGGTTTTCACAAGTGATGCAGTTCCCCGTGGGAAAACGGGAGAGACAAGCAGAGAGGGAATAGCAGATGGCCTCCTGGAGCAGACCACAGTCAGCAGATCTGTCTGTCTCCTCTTCCGTCATTTTTAGGTGCATATAGAATAAATAAATGTATGGGCTGGGTGCAGTGGCTCATGCCTGTAATCCTAGCGCTTTGGGAGGCAGAGGCGGGAGGATCACTTGAGGCCAGGAGTTCAAGACCAGCCTGGGCAACACAGCAAGACCTCATCTCTGAAAACAAAACAAAACAGAACAAAACAAAACAAAAGAAAACAAAAAAACCATCTATAACAAACGTATAGATATTTATGCCTGACTAACCCTACTCTTTCTCTTGAACAATAATAACCATTACTAGATTGGTCGCAGGCAGAGCACAAATAGACATCAGTTCCTACAGTTTTCACAACATCTCTGCAGGAACAGAGAGGTGGAAATTGTCCCTAGGGAAAGGTCGAGGTGGCTCTCAGGTGTGAGGGACTCTGGGATACTGGGGGGCTCTCTGGGGAGCTGGTGGGTCTAGACCCGGCCAGCACTGACACTCCCCGTCCTCAACCCACAGACGCCAAGGCGCCCCGGGAGGCACTTCGCTTCCATGCCGAGACCAAGGGCGCGCAGGTGCGTCTGGACACGCGTGGCTGCACCGCGCACAGGCGCGCCACGTTCCACGACGGCATCGTGTTCAGCCAGCGGCCCGTGCGCCTGGGCGAGCCCGTGGTGCTGCGCCTTCTGCGGGAGGAGAGCGGCTGGTGCGGCGGCCTCCGCGTGGGCTTCACGCGCCTGGACCCCGCGTGCGTGTCCGTGCCCAGCCTGCCGCCCTTCGTGTGCCCCGACCTGGAGGAGCAGAGCCCGACGTGGGCGGCCGTACTGCCTGAGGGCTGCGCGCTCGTGGGGGACGTGGTCCGCTTCTGGGTGGACCGCCGCGGCCGCCTCTTCGCCAAGGTCAACGCCGGCTGCAGGTTCCTGCTGCGCGAGGGTGTGCCCGTGGGCGCCCCGCTCTGGGCCGTGATGGACGTGTACGGGACCACCAAGGCCATCGAGCTGCTGGGTGAGGCGACCGTGGGGACCCCGCAGGGGAGGTGGGGCGATGGGGGCTCCAGGGGCACCCCACACCGATCCAGAGCCACAGGAAGAACGTTCACATTCAGTTATTCCGTCAGGCCCTGCCCAGTGTTAGCTGTGAAGATGGGCACTGGAGACACCAGATAGACAAGGCCCAGTGGTAGGGAGGGCAGTGTTGTCCCTAAAGAATGACAAGCAGATAGGCCCAGCATTCCCGCCATCCGTTAACCAAAACACCTGTTAGAGTGCCCACCTCCTTTCGCAAAGGAGGAAACATTTGGGCTGGGCTTCTCAGCCTAAATAGGAGTTCACTAGAGACAAAGGTGGCAAGCAAAGGGAACACACAGGTGAGGCTAGAGGTGTGCATGGAGAGTGCCCGCAGGGAGAAAGCTGAGTCTCTCAGTCAGTGGGTGGGGAAAGGAGAGCCATCCCTCTAGCCACCCAAGAAGAAAGTGGATTTCAGGGGAGCACAGAGAGGCAGTAATACCCATAACAAGAAACGTTGGCATTCCTGGGCTGGGCGGTGGTCCAATCCCCACTTCGCACCAGCAAATTTGTTAAAACCATTTGTCACAGCTGCCAGCGCCTCACACCTGAAGCGCGTGATTTGCTGGGTCTGGGGTGGAGCCCTGAACCTGTGTTTGTCCAGGCTCTTGGGAGATGTTGACGCCCATCTGGGTTGGGAATGTGGCTAGGCCAAGGGGCTCCACTCAGGTAGTGGCTGGAGGGCAAAGAAGAGGGGCCTGAAGGAAGGTGGCTCAGGAGGAAGAATCTCCAGCCCCAAGGATTCTCGGATTCTCAGCTGGGTTAAGCTGGGGAAGGGATGGCCAGGACAGGGTCTTAAACTTTGGGGATGGGGGCTCAGCATTGTAACCCAGGGAAGAAAGGAGACTGGACACTTTGCTGCAGGGCCAGGAGCAGGGATGGGGGCACCTGGGCTTGCCGTCCTGGGCCTGAGTTTCTCTCTCTCCCTCAGATCCCACAGCCAGCCGGCTCCCAACAGCCATGCCGTGGGACCTCAGCAACAAGGCTGTGGCTGAGCCCAAAGGTGAGTGCCTTCCCAAGCAGCAGGGACTCCCCAGGAATCCAGCACCTGGGAGAGGAGGGAGAAGGCCCATGTCCTGGTTGTTCATTCAAGTCTCTCTCAGGCTTTGGGCCAAAAGATTTGGCTCTGCCTACTGGAAACCTAAAAGCAACCTGGCATCTCTGCCTTTGAGAGCGTTGGCCTACTCTGTGAGCTAGAAGAGCACTTTTATGAACAGTCAGCGTTATTCTTGCTTTAAAAAGTCATCCACATTCATTGTAAATGCTTTGCCGATGGAAATAAAGATGAAAGGATAGGTGGGGTGCAGTGGCTCACACCTGTAATCCCTATACTTTGGGAGGCCGAGGCAGGAGGATCGCTTGAGCCCAGGAGTTTGAGACCAGCCTGGGCAACATGGCGAAACCCTGTCTCTACAAAAGGTACAAAAATTAGCCGAATGTGGTGGGGCATGCCTGTGGTCCCAGCTACTCGGGAGGCTGAGGTGGAAGGATCGCTTGAGCCCAGCTGACTGAGGCTGCAGCGAGCTGTGATCACACCACTGCACTCCAGCCTGGGTGACAGTCTCCTGTCTCTAAAAAGTAAAAAAGATTAAAGGATAAAGAGGAAAGTTAAAAAAAAAATCACCCATTACCTCTTGGGTGGATTTTCTTCCAGTATTTTCGGTCATCGATATAGACATGTGTATATACAGGGACTTGTCTGTGCTTTGTTTTCCTTCTCTAAATTGGAATTTGATTATGTATGTGTGTGTGTGTGTGTGTGTGTGTGTGTATATATATATGTTTTTTTTCTTCCCCCTTTTTTTCACTTCATCACACTGTACGCATTTCCTCACGAGGTAACATTCTTCAAAATACAGCTACATGTTTCTCTGTCATTCTCTGTGGTCACATTGTGAGTGGGTTGCCCGCCCCTTCCCCCATGTGCCCTGACCTGTGTTGTTCCCTCTTCCAGCCACACCAGGAGAAGAGTGTGCCATCTGCTTCTATCACGCTGCCAACACCTGCCTTGTGCCCTGCGGCCACACATACTTCTGCAGATGCTGTGCCTGGCGGGTCTTCAGGGATACGGCCAAGTGCCCTGTGTGCCGCTGGCAGATCGAGGCGGTAGCCCCCGCGCAGGGCCCTCCTGCTCTGAGGACTGAGGAAGGCTCATGAGAGGAGGCTTCCCAGTATGAGTGGCAGCCCAGGCCTAGATCTGAGTCCGGTTCCTGCAGAGGAAGGAGGCGCAGCCCTACCTTCTTTCTAGGGAAGAGTCAGAAGGGCTGATTAGCAAGAGGTGTGGCAGAGAGAGGAAGTCAGGGAGGTGCTGTCTGCTCCCTCCACCTGTTTCACAACAGGGGAGCAAGGAAAAACCCCTTTCTGTCCATGCCAGAGCTATCCTTCTGATGGGTTGCTTTGTTTAGAGACAGGGTGGCCCAATCCCGTGTTTTATAGCTGAGGGAGTTCAGGTATCTGTCGTGTCTGGTGAAGCCCTGTACCTCCTGGGTACTGAAGAACCTGGACTTGAAGCAGGAGGTATCTACATGGAATGCGTCAAGTTCCACGTGGAAGCTGGGTTGCCTCCCACAAGTCCCCGGTAGAGTGGATCTGTAGTTACCTGCCCTGCCTCCCTTTGAGGGTGGGCGCGAGGTCCCAGCGAGACCAGGCATCTGAAGATGATTTATAACGTGAACGTGTATTGTTGTCACTGTGGTAATTTCCTTGCCAGTTTCTGAGATATCAAAATAAAGTTTGTGTTTCCTGAATGATTTTGTAGTGCCTGTGTCCTCTTGCTTGCAGTCTGGGAGTGGGGTGGGAGCTGAGGGCTGTTCAGGATGATGCGGCATTTGGGGACATGCCATTCTGTCTTCCCCACAATCTGGGCTTGTGGGTGGCCTGGGTGGGCCTCTGGGCACTCGGGACCATGGACTGAGCACATGAAGGGGGTAATCTTGTAATTCCAGTCCTCAAGTCCCAACCAGACTTTTTGCCCTTGCCACCCTTGATTTTGGGGCACTGCCTTGAGGCTCTGGCCCCTGACTGCAGGCAGGAGTTGGCCTGGGAGCCCACCTCAGCAGGTATCTGGCAGGGGCCAGCTGTGCCTGTGACTTTACTGTTGTTCCCTGCTCTGTGGCTGCTGGGGAGGCCACTCCAGGGGGAGAGGGCTACATGAAGGGAATCTGAACCTGTTGTGCCCAAAATGGAAAGTAGAGGCGCCTCCACACAATGCCTTTCTGCCCACCGCATAGCCAAACAGAGGGTCAGGACGCTGGGTTTGATGACACCTGAGTACCTTTCACTCTGGAGTGGGATCCCCTCACTGCCACCCACGAGTGCTCTGACCTGGGGCATGTGAGTTGACCTCCATGAGCCTCAGTTTCATCATCTGTAAAATGGAAATAGGATAATTTTCTCGTTAGTAAGTTGTGAGGAGCGTGAATATGCAACTTCTAACTGAGAAGAAGGACTCAAAAATGGCAGCTCCCTTTCCCTGGAAAAGGCATCTCCCAGGGGAAGGTCCCAAGAGTGCACTGGAATGGTTATCAGGGGCCCTGTGTGAGTCCCAGTAGCCCACGGACTTTCACCAAGGGCCTCCAGTCATCCCAATACTTTGGAATGATTTCTATGGATCCTAAAGCAAGTATTTTCATGCTTTTAAGTGTCTTATTTTCCCCTTCTCTGCCCAGAGAGCTTCAGGGTGAAGGCAGTACTTTAATTCTAATTCCAGTGAACACTACCTTATTAGGTAACATCTAGAAAGCCTGATTTTAGAAAAGATCTCTAACCAGAGGTGACCCTTCTGGAACGGTGGAGTGAGGACCTCTGTAAACCCATTCTTCCAGAAAAACAGTAAAAATACTGGCAAAATTACCAAAATCAACCTTTTCAGAACTCTAGAAATTAACCAGAGGCTAACAATAATCTGAAGAATGAGATAAACTGCTATACTTTGCTAAGAGCAGTGGGGGTGTGTGGTGTTAACTCCTCCCACCCCTCTGCCTCTAGCTCCACAGTAGTCTTGAAAACCAGCAGCCTTGAAGCCACTCAGGGTGGAGGGACAGACTCAGCTGGGAGCTCCTCGGGAAACTCCATCCCTAGACTATTGTCACTATCTGACCTACATCTTCATTCTCTGGAAAAGCTTAATTCACAGGGCGTTGTCATTCTTTAACCCTGCTTGGGGCCCTCTCCATGGGAAACCCCTATCCCTGGGATATTTGCCAAACATAATCAGCTTCAATTGTTTAACATTACAGCTGCCTAAGTCTGTGATACTAGCTGAGGCAAACAAGAGCCTGGCCAGAGATTTAAAAGGAAGATCTGTGAAATGAGATGTCCGTAGAGAACTTTGAAAAGTTACGATAAATGCCTGGGGATCGACAAGGCTGTATACACACTCAGGAAAGACTTAGAGGGCCCCAGTCTCTCACTTTGGCTGACCTTGAGGCCTTGTGAAAGTAGGAAGCGAAGGGTAAGACAGAGTTAGAAACTACCTGAGCATTGAAGGTGTGCCCCAACCCACACACGGAGCTCCTTGTCAAAAGGTGGAAGATATACTAGCTCAAGGCATTTAAGGAAATCTCTGTCTGATCATTAGCTGACCACTAATCTAACTGAGCAGAGACTTCAGTTGGCTACACATTACAAGGAATGTAGACTTTACAGAATTAGTCCAGGAAAGTGAACAAAAAACAACAGAAAAACAACAACAACAAAAGCCCCACAGAAACAGCAGCAACAGACTGGCTACGACAACAAACCCTGGAAGGGTGAGTGTCTGATTTTCAGGACTTCCAAATTATATTACCTAAAAAGCTCTAGTTTTTTAAGAAAAATTATGAGATCTGCAAAGAAATATGAAAGTATGAAAGTATGGCCTATGCACAGGAAAAAAATCAGTCACTAAAAACTGCCCCTGAGAGAGTCTCGATGTTAGATTTACTAGACAAAACCTTTAAATCAGCTATTATGAATATGTTCTGTGAACTACAGAAAGCCATGTCTAAAAAATTTTTTTAAAGTGTGTCAATGATGTATCACCAAATACATAATATCAATCTATCAGAAAGATAAAAATTATTAAAAAAAACAACCAAATAGAAATTCTGGAGTTGGAAAGTACAATACTTGAAGAAAAATTCACTAATACTAGTGGGGTCCAATAGCATATTTAGGCTGGCAGGAGAAAGGATCAATGAACTTGAAGATAGGTTAACAGAGATGATTATGATTTAGTCTGAGGTATAGAAGGAAAAAAGAAGAATGAACAAAGCCCCAGAGACCTATGAGACACTGTCAAATACATGCACCAACATACATGTAAAGGGAGTACCAGAAGGAGAACAGGAAGATAAGGGGGAAGAAAGAAATTATAGAAGTAAAGTCCAAAGAGTTTTCAAATTTTCTAGAAAAAAAAGAAAAAAAATATATATATATATTTGAGACAGAATCTCACTCTGTCACCCAAGTGGGAGTGCAGTGGTAAGAGCTCAGCTTATTGCATCCTCTGCCTCCTGGGTTCAAGCAATTCTCCTGCCTCAGCCTCCTAAGTAGCTGGGATTATAGTGTGCACCACAAGGCTCAGCTAATTTTTGTATTTTTAGTAGAGACGGCATTTCACCATGTTGGCCCAGCTGGTCTTGAACTCCTGACCTTAGGTAATTCACCAACCTCAGCCTCCCAAAGTGTTGGAATTGCAGGCGTGAGCCACTGCTCCTGGCCAATTTTCTGAAAATATTAATCTATGTATCCAAGAAGCTCAATGAATTGCAAGTTGGATTACTTAAAGGCTGGTCCTCACTCTATGTGCTCTTCTACCTCCACCCTCAGAAGGATAAACTGAAAGAGATCCACACCGAGGTATATCGTAGTCAAATTGTCAAAAACCAAAGACAATGGGATCTTTAAAGTAGCAAACAAAAACAAAAACAAACAAACAAACAAAACCACTTAAGTGCATACAACTTATCCTCAATAATAACTAACTTCTCATCAGAAATCATGGGGACCAGAAGATAGTGGAATGATATAAGTACTGGAGGAAAAGGACTGTGAATCAAAAATTCTGTATCCAGCAAAACTGTCTTCAAAAGTGAAGAAGAAATTAAGATATTCCCAGATAAACAAAAACATAGAGTTCATTACCAGCACATGTGCTCTACAAGAAATATGGGATTCCTTAAGACTGAAATGAAAGCAATGATCTCTAACATTTCTTTAATTTTATAGATAGGAAGACTGACGGGCAGGTAGAAGGAATTATCTTATAAATGATGGGATAAGAATTAGATCCTCGTTATAACCACACTGATGCAATCATTCCTTCATTCATCAAATTAATTCCAAGAACAATGAAACGTCTGACTCTAGAAGGCATCTTAGCATGAGCACAGACTTGCCTATGTCCTTGGGAGCAACATTGGGGAATAAATAATTATATTCAATGTGGTAAGTGTTAAAATAGCCTATATAATCCCAGCAGTTTGGGAAGCTGAGGTGGGCAGATCACAAGGTCAGGAGTGTGAAACCAGCCTGGCCAATACGGTGAAACGCCATCTCTACTAAAAATACAAAAATTAGCCAGGCGTGGTGGCATGCGCCTGTAGTCCCAGCTACTCAGGAAGCTGAGGCAGACGACTCGTTTGAACCTGGGAGGCAGAGGTTGCAGTGAACCGAGATCATGTCACTGCACTCCAGCCTGGGCGACAGAGCGAGACTCTGTCAAAAAAAAAAAAAAAAGAATAGCCTGTACTAAGAGCTTTTCAACTTCCATTTCAAGATGATAGACTGAGCACATGTAGTTGTCTCCTTTTATTCCAAGTCTCTATAAATTGCTCAGAATCATTTAAACAAATATATTTCTTCCCTATAAAACAACATAGGGAAAACCTGGTGAATCAAAACCACAATAAAAGGTGGAAAACAGGCCGGGCGCGGTGGCTCAAGCCTGTAATCCCAGCACTTTGGGAGGCCGAGGCGGGCGGATCACAAGGTCAGGAGATCGAGACCACAGTGAAACCCCGTCTCTACTAAAAATACAAAAAATTAGCCGGGCGTGGTGGCGGCGCCTGTAGTCCCAGCTACTCAGGAGGCTGAGGCCGGAGAATGGCGGGAACCCGGGAGGCGGAGCTTGCAGTGAGCCGAGATCGCGCCACTGCACTCCAGCCTGGGCAACAGCGTGAGACTCCGTCTCAAAAAAAAAAAAAAAAAAAAAAAAAAAGGTGGAAAACAGGTGGGATCAGAATAAATATGGAAACCGAGCCAGAGGAGAGGACGGCCGCCAAAGGTGAGAGCAGCTCTAGGAATGCTTCAAACTCAGAACTTGTGAGCTGGGAACAGGAGGCGGTCCATGATTGCTGACCATGACCCGTAGAGGCTCACAGAGTGGACAGCCAGGAATGTTCACCGGAGGCCACACGGTGAGTCACAGAAGTGTCTTCCCGTGGGCGGGAGCAGTGAGAGGTGAACACCTGGGTGTGAGGCAAGACAAAGCCCCAGAGATTAACAACTCCCATGGATGACAGGAAGCTTCCACATCAGAAGGTTCACCATTGGCTCATCCTGCCCAGCAGCACATCCCGTCCCTTCATTCCACTTTACACAGGTGCACCAAGACGTGGCTGCGCGTCCCACCCCTTTCTGCAAGCAGGCCACTTAGGCTAACAAGGAATTTCAGAGCCCAAGGTGAACTCACAGCCAAGAAAAGCCAAATATTTGAAAACAGTGAGTATCATGAGGGAAATGACTGAGAAAAAAAGGACTTCATACC